GCCTAGCGCTGTACTGCACATGCTTCAGGTCCCAATACTTGAACCAAATCATCATGAAAAAGGATTCGCTCGAACTCTGCGTTTGGAGCTTCGTAAAGAGTATGGAGCTAGAAAGCTGCTGAAAGTGGCCGCCTCATCCAAATCATTAGCTGCTAATGGCACAATATTCACCCAGGTGCTCCTTTAGTTCAATGTTTTCGAAGTTTTCTTTCCTGGTCACGGATTATGTAACATCTGGGTAACGCTTGTAGAAATGCTAACAGAATTCGCCATTTTTCTCTCCTTACTGTCCTAATCTTCCAAGATAAGGCAAGTTTTTCACGACTTTCTTAGGAGACAGATTTGGTTAAATATCTAGTGTAATCCGACGCTGATTTTGACCACTCGGGTTTCCTTTAAATTGCTCGAGAATCTCCTCTATGGCTAGGTTAGCCTAATTTCATAGATACATAGCTAAATGTGCTTGCTTTCGAACGATGTGGTAGACAGTAGCCCTATCGCCTCCTTTCCTGACATTTCTCTTTATGTCTTCGCGCTTTTAGAGGGGATGACCTCATAGACAACTATTTTGACAAATATGTGAGCTGTAATGTTTGTTTTAAAGCATATATACCATTTTCACTTTAAATTCACCACTTTTCAAACCAAATTCACCACTCTTTTTAGACCGGGCAGTTCACCAACCAGATCACGCCAGACACCACTGCGAGCCCCGCCCCGACGGCCACGCCTACTTGTCAGCGCGGACATAGATTTTCAACACATCACATGGCCGACTCCGCCCAGTCTTCAAAGGGTTTGTTGCGAACTTCGAAATTTCATAACTTTTTCAACTTTTTAATTTCACATCCACTCTTTGCACAACGAAGACACTCGTACCCGCGCATTTATGCACTGGCAACTTAGGCTCCGCCCCCTTGGCCACGCCCACTTGCTTTTTGCGGAATTTTGATATTTTTTCAAAATTTTTGCATTTTTGGACTGCTCCATGAAGCCCCGCCCACTGTGAGAGGCTCCGCCCACTTCAAAGAAGCCCCGCCCACTTTTCAAAAATGGTGCAAATCGGCAGTATAGAGCCTTTTGCATGCTAGGGTCTCGTTCGTAACTCGGAACAAATAAATGAGAGTTCCGAGTGACGGACGAGACCCTAGCATGCAAGCCAAGACTATACTGCCGATTTGCACCATTTTTGAAAAGTGGGCGGGGCTTCTTCGAAGTGGGCGGAGCCTCTCACAGTGGGCGGGGCTTCATGGAGCAGTCCAAAAATGCAAAAATTTTGAAAAAATATCAAAATTCCGCAAAAAGCAAGTGGGCGTGGCCAAGGGGGCGGAGCCTAAGTTGCCAGTGCATAAATGCGCGGGTACGAGTGTCTTCGTTGTGCAAAGAGTGGATGTGAAATTCAAAAAGTTGAAAAAGTTATGAAATTTCGAAGTTCGCAACAAACCCTTTAAAGAATGGGCGGAGTCGGCCATGTGTCGATGTGTTGAAAATCTATGTCCGCGCTGACAAGTAGGCGTGGCCGTCGGGGCGGGGCTCGCAGTGGTGTCTGGCGTGATCTGGTTGGTGAACTGCCCGGTCTAAAAAGAGTGGTGAATTTGGTTTGAAAAGTGGTGAATTTGGTTTGAAAAGTGGTGAATTTGGTTTGAAAAGTGGTGAATTTGCTTTGAAAAGTGGTGAATTTAAAGTGAAAATGGTATATTTGCTCGAGGTAGTCGGGTGAGTGTTGCTCGAGATAGACATCGGCCGACTTCCGGCGAAATCGTAGAGGCTTTTTATACAATCCAATACGATCTGCCTCATGGCCACAGTTCTCATGATTATCAAGACGTACTGCTAAACTTTTTAGCAGGCGCGATCAGGAACAGCTTTGAAACGGAGGTTATCAGTGGAAATCATCAGTGATGAAGATTGTCACGGACCAACCTCTACAAAGAAGAGGAACCATTAACGAATGGCTATGCAGACTTAAACGCGGACGAGTATGATGAAGATGGTCTGCATTTCACCTACATTTCTCCTTTGTCAAGTTCATGTTGGTTTTTTGCTCTATTATGGGGGCGAAAAAAAATCCCTGTTTTTCGAAGGTCATATTTTTCTTATAGCTGGATCATCTTCGAGCGTGATATGTTTGGACGACGACGATGATGATGATGTTGATGGTGATGAGGCAATTATGCTGCCTCTAAAGGTGGGAACCTTGAAATAATTGCTCAGTTTTTTGGTATATAACCGCAGTTCAACGGTAGTACGCGCTCTGAAAGTTATCAAGTTATGTTTAGTTTAGTAAGTTGAGTTATGGGCAAAAGCCAGACCCCAAGCGAGACCAGAACCCTCATCTCCCGCTGACCATCCGGGCGAGTGTGCTATCCGTTCCGCCCCAGGGTCGCCCTTACCTCCGAAAAGCATGAGGTTCCGGTTCGAGTACCGCCTAAGGTCTGACTTATGCTCTTAGCTCAAACTTCTTGTGAATTGCTCAGTGTTCAGATAATTACTGTTAGTAGATATGGGAACCTCCTTATCTGTACTAAGTCACACATTTATGCTATTTTCTTGGTAGCAGGCGCCGTAAAAACACGCAAAACTAAATCGAATAAAAGTAATTCGCGGCGTTCGAAGCGCTCTATACCAAAAGCGCGTCAAAATCCAGTATGGGGCTCTTTCCCTAGTCGGCCCATTTTTAAACCCTCTTGTGTCGAAAAATAACCGCTCTAGTTTCAGAACGAAAATCCTCAGCCATCACTGAATATTTCCACTTCATCGTTGGCTTCTTCATCTTCAGCATCCTCACAACAGAAAGTTTCCCCCAATTCTCTCTTGAATGGTTTGTTTCAGTCTACGTTGTTCAGCTATTTTGAGAACAATGATTTCGAATGCTGTAGTGATGATGATTTCTAACATATTTTTCATGAGGGATGTTAACTCACCCCCCCCCCCCAGATGGATTAGGTTATGGCAGCCTACGTCGCACGGCAACACTGTTACGTAGTTCTGTTTCTGTCTATTAAGGCTGCAAAAAACAGTATAGCTCCCAAACCTAAACTGGCATGACCTAGCCCATCTAGTAGGTAGAGTAGGTAACTAGGATTAGCTGACTCGTGTCCGACGGTGCGCCCCGAACATGATGAACTACACCTTTTATAAGTTGCAGATCGAGTACCGCCTCCATTCCCTGAAGAAAGTATAATCGGAGTGCGTTTCAATGTTGCTGCTCGTCCTATTGCAGGCAGGATTCGAGAATACAGGTAAGGTCCCCTCTTTCTTCTTCTACCTTCCGCAGATGGTCTAGGGCTTTGTGCTCTCTATGCTAGAGCTATCAGTACTTTGGTAGTTCGGGGGTGTCTCGCGCATCTATGCCACTTGTCTGGTTGCCTGTGAACGCTTTCGTTAGACTGGAGAATGACATATATACTCTTCTTGGAACTGGAACTTCTGGTCTAGGCGCTAAAGGTGAGAGAGCAGAGTAATAGAGGTCTGCTACTGCCAAAGTACCAAAAGAAGTAAAAGCATGTCGCGGGCCCGGAGGTGGTTTTTCAGATAGACGTGATTCCGTGGTGGATCAGCAAGCAACTTATCATGCGTGAGAAGTTGAAATGTTTAGGGTCACGGTGGTCACAGAGGGCTATACAGATGTGAGAGCAACGAGAAAAACAGTTGAGGCGTTTTAAGGTACTGAGTTCAAGTTGTCCGCCTGTCCGCTCGATCTCTCATTCTAGGGCTTCAAAGAGACGTAGTGCGAGAATGACGTGGTGTAGTCGCTCCACCATCTGAAACTCTCAGGCTACTTTTTCCCTCGTGCTCCCTAGTTTCCATACAACAAAAGCTAAGATCGGAAAGTTGTCTGAGTTACTCAGTCACAACTGACATTCCAGGGAGAAGTATTCGAACGAATTCAAAATTCTAGATGCGGAAATATGGAAGCACTACGAATGCAATCGACAGGTAAGTAAACATTTTGCCTAAAATTTGCGAGTGCAGGGCCAGTTCGGCGACTACGAAAGGGGACCTGTTGCACTTCCGCTGCTTCACTAGTTCCAGTTGACAAGTCTCACTCTGATAAACCTAAGAACTCTTGTGAAGCCGGCGTCAATGCTCAATGGTCAAGGCACTTCTACATTAGAGGGCCCCAGCGGGGGGGGGGGGGGGGGGGGGGGGGGGGGGGAAGGGGAGGGTCGTATGAGGTCCGAGAAATTTTTTTTGATAGCTGATTTTTCTTGTTTCACGAGCACTATTCACCTCGTTGGGGAAAGAGTCCAATGGGGGAGTGGGAGGGGTTATAGCAGAGGACACGCTTGCGAGAAAGCCGCGTTGTGAGAAAAGTTCCCCATTCTCGACTTTTCGTGGTGTTTCCCGTTTTTCGAGTACTGTAGGCTGCCCGTCTTGTTTGACGACATTGGTTATGAGAAAAATCTGGAAATTTTCGCGAAATTGAAATTTTAGAAAAGGGGCTGGGCATATCGTCGTTGGGGATTCCCCAACAGGGAGGGTGTCGTGGGGTTCGCCTTCTGAGAGGAGAGGGAGAGGTCGTAAGTGCTTGTTGTTGGGGTAGGAGAGAGTGGGTAGTATTTGCCTTCTGAGAAAATTTGGACGGTGGTGGGAAAAATTTTTCCGTTGTGGGCTTTTTGCGGTTTTCCAGTCTGGAATGTACTACTTCGGAGAAAAAGTATCTCTGTCCGGCAGTCTTCCCCAACGGCAAGACCTGCCCTGTTGATGGTTAACTTTATGGCATTCCATTGCCTAACAAGAATCGGTAGTTGTACGTGGTTCCTATAAACTTTGACTCGTATCATTTCGCAGTTTTCAAGATTTCACGAGTGTCTACCAATGGCTCAACACGTCGATGGGAGCAGAAGCAAAAGTGCAAAATGCTCCCCCAACCCCGTCGCCAAACTGCGCCCAAATACAGATATGCATGCATCTGATCAACATCATGGCTTTATGGCTTCGAAACTCTTAGAGTTACCTCTCCAACTTTCCAGACTGAAGATGTTTATAGTTGGAAAATGGAAGTCCGAAATCGTTTGTTAGCAGAATTCCGGCTGGTAATTCTTTTTTCTGTTAACACTGTTGCAATTTTCACTAACAGTCACGAATTCTCTAGGTGTTTCCCCATAAACGCATCGAGTTATTCGCAGTAGGATCAACAATTAATGGTTGTGGAAGTTACAATTCAGACATGGATTTATGTTTATGTATTCCTATGGACTTAGAACTCATGTATTCTACTGAGCGAATGTTCGTGTACTCTAGTGTTTGTGCCCGATTTTGCCGTCCTTTTTTGGAGATGGATTTTTGGAAATTAATGAAGTAAGTTTCATAGCAACAAGTTTTCAGTGCTGCGATAAAAACTTTACGCCGACTGAATACTGCAATCAAGATGAAGCCATCTTTACGTCAGATCGTTCGGAAAAGTGAGCTCATTCCAGCTAAGGTAAGATGTCTGTTTGTTGCTAGCAGAGCAGAGTGCACGTCGTACGCGGGGGATCCTAGCAAGGGGGGCCGTATTTGGTTGCTTCAAGGAGGGAGGGAATGGGTCGTAGTCATCTTTGAGCGAAATGTTTCTGGTTTGTTGACTTTTTCCCCATTTTTCTCCGTTGATACCCCTCGCATCCTTCTGGCGATATTTTCTTGAGGTTTTGGGGAAGAAAGTGGAGGGACTTTAGGGAGAAATCTTTGAGAAAAGGCGATTTTGGGGAGAAACTTTTTAGAAAAGTTGGGGACAATTCGTGAGGATGATAAGTAGGATGGAGGGCAACAGATGAGGAAATGTGAGGGAGGAGGTGGTTCAAGGATAAAGGATAAAGTCTCGCCGTTGGTCCCACTGTGGGATGCGGCACGCATTCTATTAGGTTGTTCGAAAAGTCCTGCGACACTTTGTTGAACTATTCTAGAAAAAGACCAAAAATCATTTTGAATGTTTTTATCTCTGATTAGTGGAGACTGTCTCCTGGGGTTTCTGAAAATGGGTATATCATGGCTCCGTGGAAGTTTTCAAAGCTTAAAAATACCTCAGAGATCGAGGTACTTCTCGACCTATCCCATATTATGAGTTCCTGTAGGGCAACTCCGCCATAGTCGAGGAACGCTCACACCTGGCCTACGTTGTTCTTGAGCGAAGGATATCGGCTTCGCCTAACGCTGAACAGTTCCTTTTGCATACAGCGCTACAGGCTGGCTTATTCAAACGAATGCAATGTAATACGTCGGCCACCGGGGGTCCCGCCCAGCACAGAATGACGGCCCTTTACCTTCAAGCTTCTTGAGGGCGCGGCAGGCCGCGAGAACGTAACGTTCACCAGTAGTTGGCACACTCCGGTAGGCTCCACCTAAACTGAGCACGCCCATGTTCTCCGCAGTGGTCGGCTTATCCGGAAAAATTTGTGAAGGATGCCTCATGATGGACGGCCACTCTGACAGTCATACAAACGCAACCCCGAATGACGGGTGACTGGGGAGGTTTCTTTTTTTTTCCTTGTACACATTGGAGGAACATTTCGTGAGAATCTTGTGTTGTAGAGCAGTGGTGGGGTCCTGCGCGTACATGGCCTTACAGGCATGTTGCTGGGGGGCGAGGGCAGGATCTCGCGTCGAACAGAAAAGTAAGATTGCACACCGCAAGCAAGCGAGATGTGCATGGGATAAAGATTTCAGTAGGTTATTGGTGGGACTCCAAAGCGGTATCTCTGGATACTAGCATAACGGTAAGGACTACAGTCCACTCTAGCCCGGAGCCGTGGGGTACGAAAGACGCTCGACGAGTGGCCAAATGTATCGACGTCAGCTAGAGGGAGAATTTAGTGACGGAGAAGAAGGAAGTGACGATGCAAAAGATTTTTACTTCAGAAGCACGAGCGGCATCAATAAACACAGGAAGGCGAGGGTAAGGCAGAGAGGGCAGGCGCGGGCGAAATTGGAGGCCAGCTAGAGGAGGCGGGGCGAGACGAGGCCTAGCGCCGAGGGGTGCCGGAGGCAGGTCAAGTATGCGGAGCGCCACGAGGAGGACCGCTGGCGGGGAGAGACAGCGGTGGCAGGAGTGTCAGATCCGAGCGAGGACAAGACGCGGCTAGTCCAACAGAGGGTAAGTCCGGCTGACCGCGTGGCGGGTTGAGGAAGTGCTAGGGCGAGCGCGCAGCTGTGGGCGAGGCGCGAGGGGGCGGAGCACCGCACACGGGAGAGAATCGGGAGCTGAGGAGGTGGGGTGGAGAATGATGCAGCGGAGACTTGCGCGGAGTGTAGGGGATCAGGGACGAGGGAGCAGAGAAGAGGTACTAGGGGAGGCCGAGGTTGAGCGGTGATATGGGGTGGGTTGAGTCATCGGCGGGAGGGGCGCGGTGAGCTGGCGGGACCTACGTAGCGCCACGAGGGCGCCTTAAACAAGGAGGCGCAGACCAGACGGTGTCAGGGCAAAAAGTGAGGCCGTGGACGGGAAGGACCTGCATGTCTAGGGACAGGCCACGAGCGACAAAGAGATCGTGGCGATTTGATCTGAGAATGCGACATATAGGAGGAAGACATCCCATACCTTATTCAGCCAAAAGTAATATTAGCAGTCTCTAACTACACTCCTTCTTGTTCTCCGATAGCGCATCCTTAAGAAGCAACCAGGCGTATCCGGGGGCACCGAATGACCTAGACAGGCGGTTTTTAGAAATGAGGTCCCCTTTTGCTTGCGTTATACATATATGCCAGGCGGGCTAGGTAGTTCTAAAGAATGGAAATGTGAAGAAGCCCTTGCAAAAGAAGGGCCCATTGCTAAATGAGGGCCAGTTCTTAGAATGGTGATTAACCTGTTGGTAGATTGGAGAGGTTTTAGTGAACTAGAGAAGAAGTTTAGACGCCGAAAAATTGGTCAAAGTGTCGCAGGACTTTTCGAACAACCTACATACTTCCATTCAGAATCGTAGTGGCTTATTGAATGCGATGTGGCCTATACAATGACTTGCGGGGGCCAGCCGATGTACAAGTCAGTGTTTTATCCTCCCAGACGAATCTGGTAAGAAATTTACCGTCCCGGGGGAGGGGGGAGGGGGGGGGTAGAAGGCTTGGTTGGCCTGGGCGGGAGTCGACCCGGGATTTGAACCCAGGACCGCGCGAGTGGTGAGCGCGCCACTTGTCACTACACCACTTACTGCCCGGGGGGGGTTTTATTTTGCAAAATTCTTCCCCAATGACAGAACGTGTCCTGGATGCCATTTTGCTAGTTTCTGGATTCTAAGCTTGTCTTTCCAACTGTTATTGCCGTGACTGGCTCCGATTTGACTGCCTTTTTACTTTTAGTGTTCACGGTGCAGAATGTTAAATTTTCAGGTCCCTATCATTAAAATGGCATTGAATCCACCTTATCAGGAACTTGATCTGGATATTAACATTAACAATGTTGCTGGCATTTACAACTCTCATCTGATCCACTATTATTCGCTGTAAGTCACACCCAGCTGTTTCTGCTCGCTTAGAATGGGTTTACACTTCGCTACGAGTCGCTCGAAAATCGCGCGCTCTGCGTGATCCAAGCAGTACGTCGGACCTGTCACAAAGTGCATTTCTTACGTCATTAGTCGTCTGCAGAATTGGCGATTAAGAATAATTTTCATCCAATGCCTTATCCATCGCCGATTTCCCAAATCGATATGTATGCTTTCAAATCAGTGCATTTTTTCAAATCGCCAATTTTCTCGAGCCGCATATTCTTCTCATTCGCAAATTATGAACTTCCCCTTACTCTTTTAACCGCCTGGCGCAGTACTCTCAGTTCAATAAGGACCTAGTGGCTCTCCATTGATTTCTAAATTGTGCAATTTAAAGACGAAAGGGTTCTCGTTTTAGTCTGGATCAGCGATTCCCAGCTGTATGCCTTTTAGTGAAGCACTGGGCGATCACAAATGGAATAGGAGATGCTGCAACTGGTTCATTCAATAGGTCAGCTTCAGAGACTGGTTTTCATTATTGTTGTGCTTTATTTATGTTCGCAGAAGAGGAGACGAGTTCTAGGGGGACAATGTTTGTTGTAAATGCAGTACTGGCATGGGATCCTTACTGAGCGGCCGAATGCCGTGGCCTAAGGGTGTCCCGCTCTAAAGCCAAGAGTTCGCGGGTTTGTCGCTGGTGCGAAAATCTTTGCTCTGTCTCCTATATGTGTTCTTACTCCAATTATTCGAAACTTCGTCATATACTTGAACTACCTGCTCTGCTGGTCCGAGTTAACGGCAAAGCACAGCAAGTAGTTCAGGTATATGACGTAGCAGGTCAAGTGTGAGTTGGACCACTATCTGCCCCTTGTGAACACACTACCTATCCAAATTTTCGAAAGTTGCGCCCAAAATCACAGTGTGGTTGGACACTCATACGAAGTATTTTAACCCTTTGCACCCGAAGATAGCATCCACTTGACGAGAAAACGCCTGCAGCCTTTCACGTTGTTGTGGTTGTCAGTACCATTCATGGAAGGACCGACCGATAAAATCCAGAAAGGTAGTGAATTTTACCAGGGTAGAAGGTGGCCAATACGTGATCTGCTACGCCATGTACTTAATCTACTATCGCTGATGGGCCATTGGCTCGGAGGAAGCCTGAACATTGGAGTAAATAAATAAATAAATAAATACTTTTATAAGAGACAGGACAAAAATTTTCCCACTAGCGGGATGCAATCCCACGAACTCTTGGCTTTGAAGCGAGAGCGCTACCTCCGAACTACCACTATACCGAACTGCCGCACCATTCAGCCGCTCAATATGCTGTCAACACTGCATACACAGCAAAATTTGACTACTCAGAACCCGACTAGGAGATCAGAGGCACATTTGAGAGAAGCACGTTTGAAAACAGTTCCCGCTATAAAAGTGGCATGGATAGTTGCTGTTCAGTAATGAAACAGTAGTAAGTAATTCCCAAAGAAGAAAAAAAAGCAAGAAGAGCCCTTAAGAACACCATGAACAAAATCTTTCCTTGACAGTGAGAACGCCTGGTGTCACTGTGCAGCCCCTAGCTCACAAATCGCTTTATGGCATCCCCCCAGAAGTGGATATCATCCATTGCAAAGAAAGTAATTCGAAAAACACAAAAACACGGACACATTCAAAACAAAGAAATTTTCAAAATTTGGGGTTACGGTAGCGTGCATCTTTTAGTGCATGTCGAGCTATTGCACCACGAAAATTACATCACTCGTGACTTCTACGCGTTTTACCTTGCTGGCTGCATGTGCTTCTAATGAATAAAATGTAATGAAGTAGAGCAGAATTGCTTATGGGCACGAGCGCGGTCAGCAAAAAGACATGCAATTCCGATTAATGCCCGCCGCCCCAACAAAGAACAACTGAGCGGCCCTCCGTCAGAGGGCATCTAGCAAAAGGGGCTACAACTGAGCGGGCCTTAGAACTAGAACTTTCGGTGGTTCTAACTTCCAGCTCGCTACTCGCTCACTGTGGAAGTTGCGAGAGTGGGACAGTCTCTAGCTTGGGGGCTGTACTACTTGCACAAGGAAGACGACCATGTACTACTTGAGCGCGGGGGCTGTCTTTAAACATATTCGTAATCAGCATTCGAGACTCTGTCGATGTTTGAGACATTTCCTTGTTAATGATTCAGTCTGTGCTTTTACAGCTACTCGCTTATTCTTCTTGTCCTACATTACTTCCAGTGTGGAGTGCAGCCAGCAGTGTTACCAAACCTTCAGGTACAGTGTTTTGTTAGGCACTATACACTACGCACTATAGGGCTTGTTAATCACGATTTCAGCACCTTTATCCTGAGAAGTTCGGCAGTACTCCACCACTGTCTGAGCTACACTTGTTTCAACCATTGAGTTATTTACGTACGTTTTTTTTGTCGATTTAGTGGCTGTTCAACTGTGTAACTCAGTTTTATGCATTGTTATATTGTACTACAGCGGGAGAGATTAATGTTTAGATCGACCTCTCAATAAGCAAACAATAGGGGAGCTCTTGGTCGGATTTTTCCACTATTACGCTTCATTCGATTTTGAAAATATAGCTATTTCTATGCGTAACTCCCATATATTTCCGAGGTAAATTCCACCATGCTGTGGTCTATGCTCCTAGAAATCTTTTTTCTTTCAGGAGCTCTATGCCGCCTGAAACACTGGTATACAGAATTTTTATTGAGGAACCTTTCGATCGTAATAATACTGCCAGGTATCGCTAAATTGTCTTTTCAGTAATTACTGCAGCAAAAATGTGATGAATGTTTTCAATTCTTCGCACTGTTGTGCATAACGGAACTTTTCGAATAGTTGAGGAAACTCCGTGTTCAAGCCTATTGCGGTAGGGGATTATCAACCCAGTGGAAAGGCCGTATACAGGCTTAGCTGCCCTTCCTCGTGTCATTTTGCCCTCCCTTCAACTGCCTCTGCTCAGCTTATCCTGGTTGAACTGCTTGTTTCTACGATGCCGTTTGCATTCGGACTAGTCAACTTCACTGAGGCGGGGATAGGATAATGACCTATTAACCTATCCTCCTATCATGCTTTGCGATAGGAGGATAGGTTAATAGGTCATTCGGCCTCTAGGAGAATGCGCATCAAAAAGTATGGGTTTTGTTATATCGATTGAAAGAATAGGAGAATCGGCGACCACATTTTGTCGATACTCACCCTTTACTGGTGAGCGTATATCTCCTAAAACATGAAACGCCAATTCTCTTATTCTTCCGAATCGCCAGATCAACCCTTCCACTTCCATTTGGCGCGAATTATCCTGAAACGATAAATCGCCGACTTCCCTGCACTCCTATTCTCCTGCCGCCGCGAACTATGAACGTAGACTCGTAGTGTTTCCGTTAAACATTTACCATGCAACTAATATGGGCGCTAGTTTGGTTGCTAGACGGACAAGAAAATCGTAATTTACTGCGATGTCGCGTGCGGCGCATCGTCCTGTGGTCGGCAGCTCTCGGATTTTTACCAGTTCTTCCATAGGGAAAGCGAAACCTGCGTGGATTTGAAGGGAGGCAAGACCCCATATGGAGTGGGAACGATTTTTTCTTCTCGTTCAATTTCAGATTCAAACGGCAGGGCAGGGCACGAAGCCTGTTGCGCGCGGCGCAGTAACATTACCATTTCAGTTGAGGAAGAGCTGGGATGGCACGTAGTGGGACGACTAACTAAGCCTGATCGTTCGAAGGGTCAATGATTCTCTCCCTCCCAACAGCTCGCGTTCGAAAAGTGTCAGACGACTAGAACTGGCTCCTCTAAGCATTGCCGCGTGACTCCATTGAAGCACTACAAGCATCCATATGTTGTACTGACGCGACGCTGGTGCTTTTTTTCCTTGCTTGTCTGCATATGTGTTCAGAAAGGGTCCTGTCATTGTCTAGCATATCTAGCGCTATTGTGTGGCACAGACCAGACGTTCTGGAGGTGACCGGCCTCCGAGGAGGCAGACCAGACAAAGTGTCGGAACGAATCTCAGTATACTAATCAACTTTGTGGATAATGTACCACGTGAATACATGCCAAAGCACGTTGATGATTTTCAATCAATCCGTCCGCGCGCGTCATTAGGCTGCGTTGATACTTTGCGACAGCGGACGCTGGAGCTGATCGCTAGATCGATATCTATGCTTTCCCAGTCGCTGACACAGCCGGATGCTCGAAACGCTAGAGGTCACTGGTGGACGCTGCCGCAAAGTATGAACGCAACCTTAGCTTGCAGCATGAGCCAACCCTATAACAGTGCCTCTCTGGAGCAAGTTAGTGAATGCGTCCCATAAGAAAAAGGGGTAAATATCGCCCAAAACATCGTGCTAAATTATGCATCAACTCAATAAGCAGTTGCCCTATGATTGCCATATTTGGAATCTTGCAAGTTTTGATATCATATTCGGTTTCAGATGTGTCACTAAGTCCTATGTGATGGACCGTATTCAGCGCGCTTTTCGCCAAGCACGAGATGCATTCTCGAAATATCCACCCTCACTTGAGAGAATAAAGGTCACTGTTTGAGTAGGTTGTTAGTTGTTTGTGTAATTCATACTGTTAAGAATGCTCGCACAACGGTTGTATGTCCTTGTTAGGTTTGTGGTTCCATTCTTTATAGATTATAGCGATTGCCAGAACTGAAGATTTTGGTGCGCATAGCTTTCTGCAGTTTCGAGTAGACTTGAAGCTTTTTTTGTCATGCAAAGTTTGTTGATTCTACAGAATACAATTTACTGACTATATTATTTCAATCATATTGTGCTTGTTTGCTTGTTCTTTGTTGATTTAATGTTACTAGAAAATATTAAATGTCCCACCTTTGGTTTTTGAGGTTCGTCAGAAAAGAATCGAGATTAGGGTCTTGATTGTTGAGGTCGTCAGAAAAGAATCGAGATTACAGTCTTGATGTCTCACCAGAGGCAGGCGCACGTCACGTAGTTCTTGGCATAAGTTGTATCTGGCCTGGTGAAGATTTTTTGACTACTAACTGTTACGGTTCCGAGTGCAGTAACTTTCCTCACGCCCGATTCGGTAGTGCACAGTTTCAGTAGTGAAAGTAGATAGTCTGTAGCAGCGATGCCCGTTCTGTGAACATGGCGGAATCGTTGCAGGAAGGGATAGGGGTGGGTCGCATGATAAGCACCAGGTCGCGAGAAATCTCCCGGTCCATCTGACCTCTTTTTGAAAAAAAACTGCCATACAAGCCCCTTCCCTTTCCACGGTCTGTGTCCGATGTTTATCCGTATCCACGCTGCCGCATGGCCGATGTGTTTAACATCTGCAGTTGTGTCGCGTACTGTATGAATAAAGTGCTGCATGTGCCACTGAACTTCCACTAAAATTCGCTCATCCTTGAAAACTGCGATAACGGTCATCTTGTTATGTGTTGGGCAGAGGCACGGTTGGGTCAAGATGGAAATATTCCACCAGAAGCGTGAACACCTTCAGTTTAAGTTGAAGAATGCAGCCAGGCCCTACCCGATTCCTCATGGCCTTTTGAGTGTATACTCCCTCATCATTACGGAGACCTGTTCGGGGGCGGTCAAGTGCGGCTGGCGTTATTCCGCGGTTCCCAAAAGTCTTCTGCAACACAGTTTGTTGAAAGCCGATCAAAGACATTAAACAGGCATTATATCCTCGGCATTACTCGTTTCTTAAGACCACTTTTTTGTCGCATACGCGCTTCAAAGAAAAGACTGAGAACGGCTTCAAACAGTGTGCGCACTCCTTCTGGCCGATACGCCCCGACAGTCCGTAATGAAGAAGGAGTGTATGATTGGGGTGTCGGTCGGATGGCGTGGCTGGCAGCTGTCCTACCGTAACTGGGACGCTGCTGGACGCTAATTGACACCTCCCTGAGCCTGTTCAGCCGCTCCACGGATCTCGGACCGGAAGAATCTGTCCACTAAGGCCATCGCAACCATAACTGATTCGTATAATTGTAACCGAACTAGCCATGGTGAGCACGTCTCCGATAAACGAGCGCCGATTGCGTACTGAATCGCTCACAAACGTACGCATTCTCTTCCGTTTCTGAGCGGAGTTTCGACTTTTTTTCGCCTACCAGCCATTACATAACTACAGCTATAAACGGCTATCGATTATTCAATGCATTTCTGTACAACTGCGGAGCTACTAAACCAGTGGTGAGTTTTTTTACAGTTGCTTAAAAGTTGATTTCTATACTGTTTGCTTACTGGAAGAGCATAGTTTCATGACCATTTTGGGATCATGACACATTCTTCTTCTCAGTTCGCTCACACAGTTATTTCCTTGTTCACGATCATTGAAGGAGTTTCCTAACAACTGCTTTTTTTAC